CAGAGTCACGGCACGTAGACGGCACCGCCCAGCGCATTCCCCTAAATCACGGCACATAGACGGCACCGCCCAGCGCATTCCCCTAAATCACGGCACGTAGACGGCACCGCCCAGCGCATTCCCCTAATTCACGGCACGTAGACGGCACTGCCTAGCGCATTCCCATAATTCCCAGCGCATAGACGGCACCACCCAGCGCATTCCTGCAGGTCTCTCCATATTCTGCTGCATTCAGTTCACTCTCATAATTCACAGAGTATATTCTTTTTTATGGAGCACAGTCCTAGAACTCAGACTCTCCATGCCATTAGCGCGAGCCATATACGCCACAATATACACCACACCCGCGCCCGTAAAGAAGAGGATATACCCTTACAACCAGTGCCTTCCTGTAATTAACTTCTCTAACCAACACGCTCCCGTCATTCACAGACTATACACTGCTCCATATGCGTTGCTGTAAATCTACTGACTGGACTGTGCTCTGCTGCAGCCGATGCTCCCTTGTAATCCATAGGATATAAGCCACTGCACGGGCCACCCTCCCGTAATTCACAGACTATATAGCACTACGTGCACTGCTGTAATTCACAGCGTATTGCAGTGGCAAGGCTCATCCAACCCCAGTCAAGCTCCCCTCAGTGCAGACCCACCCGGAACACGCAGCCGGCTTGGTGCTATTTTCGCTGGTGACAAAGAAGGACAAAATTTGAAACCGGACCCCTTGTTGCCTTCTCACCTAGGCTCCCCCTTTGCCTTCCCCTCCCCCTCTTCAGTCCTTTGGTTGGGGTAGTGCTTTGCACCCCGCCCCAGGGCTTCTGTTGTCCTTGTGTTTCTCTCCACCCAAGCTGCCTCGCCTTGTTCCTTTGCTGCCTTGTCCGTGTGGCGCCCGCGTGCCGCCCTCCCCTGGCCCCGGGAGGGCAAGCTGCTGCTGCTGCCCCTGCGCTGAGTCTTGTGTTTGTCTCTCTGTGTTGGTGATGGGCGATCCGGGGTTGGGTGGCGAAGGGAAGGTGTCTGCACTGGGCTGTAGTATGTATAGGGGGGTACAGACAGCGGGGAAGATGCCCTGTGGTTGTGAGGGGGGCGGGGGGGGGCCTCCTGGTGACTCGCTGCACTGGGATGCATTTTATCCCCATCCACCATGGACAGCTTTATCTCTATAGCAGTCCGGCTCCCTTCCTTGGGTGATCCCTTAAACCCCAACCCCGTAGAAAGATTCCCACCGACTCCACTGAGCTTCAAATCAGGGGCTATACGCCCAGGAAGCAACCTGGCCCTGCCCGGCGGCTGTGCCCAGAGGAATACAGATGGGAGCATGCATCCTCTCTTCTCAGAGAGAAGAATCTTCTGTTGCCCTAAAGCAGTGGCAGAGAGCCCCCCGTCCCCCCGCCAACCCCTATCACTGGCTCAGGGCCGTACCTGAATCTTAAACCTGCTTCCTCTGGTCTATGCCTACGTTTTGTTACGCCCACGCGCAGCCACCCTGAACCAGCTGAGGGGCCAGGGGTCCCTGCAATACCTGAGGTACAGCATGCATCTAGTTCCAGCTCCTGGCTGAGAGTGGGGAAAAGTAACAGCGAGATGTCCAGAAGTGGGTTAGCGTTTGGTGCCGTCTATGTCCCCATCGACTCCCTATGACAGAGAGGAAAGAAGTAGGACTTGACTTCCCTGTGTGAAAGGGCTGATATAACTGTCTTTTGCTTTCCATCCCTCTGGCTCTGGGCTCCCTCGCAGGCTATGGTAAGTCCGGCATTGTTTCTCGCACCTGAGTTTCTTCCCGTGTCCTGTTTCTTGCAGAAAATATTCGGGGCTTTAATGTAAACTGCCGGGCTCACGAGCAGCTCCCACGGCAGAGAATTGTAGATTCTGGCCGGCAGGGGGCAGCGGGGAGGATCTGGAGGTCAAGTCAAGACCACCCCAAACTGTTTGAATGGGGATGAAAATTGAGGCCAACACGGGCGGGCGAACTGGGTCCTGTCTGGCCACGTGATGTGAGGGCCGCCTGAGCTGGGGGCCAGGCAGGTGTCTTACACCTGACGTTGAGGAGCTTGCCCATTGTCAGAGATGAGGGCTCTGGGCTTGAAGAGTTGTCCTGCTTTGGTAGCCACCATGTGACTAATCCTCAACCCACCTTTCCCTGCCCAAGCTTTGGCCCATACCCCTAAAGGGCTCGTGGCCTTGGCGTGCTAGTCATTTCATCCACCCCCTGCTGCAGCAGCGCCCAGGACCATGTCTGAATGCGTCCCACTGGCCTGCTGAGTACTTCGGCCATCGGGCCCGGGAGGGACCCAGCGCTGCTGGGGTATGTCCCTAGAGATGTTCTGGAGATGCTGCGGTTTCCACCACACTGAGGAGCTGGGCATCTTGCCTTGAGACCTTTGCTTTTAAAAGCCCACCGGCTGGGGGGCGGGGCTGGCTGTGACTCCTCCCCGCTGATACAGCTGTTTGATTCTGTTTCACTCCAACAGTCGTTGGTCCAGTCCAGGAAAGCCGGAATCACGTCAGCACTAGCATCAAGCACCTTAAACAACGAAGAGCTAGTAAGTGCTCCCA